GCGGCCACAAGGGGACTAAGTTATTTCATTTGCAATATGCAAATGACACCCAATACTTAGAAAGACAAGCTCTGAATTTAAGCTACTCCTTCAATGCTTTGTGGTGATCTTAGTGTTGAATATCAATATGGGGAATACAAAACTGACATGGATCTCTCGCTCAGAAGAACAAATTCTCAAACTATCTGGTACAAGGTGGATCATTTTTCATACAAATATCGGGGGTTGTTAGTGTCTATTGCTAAAAGACTGTGTATACGTAGGATGTAGTGATCGAGAGAATTAAACGAAACTTGTTGGAAGACCAAGTTGTTATCTCTTAGGGGTAGAATCACATTGATAGGATCCACATTGGCTAATCTTCATGTGCATTTCACCCCCTTGTGCCCTCGGAAAGAAAGAACTAGGCATTTGAAGGGTGGGGCAGATGAGTGAATCACTTTTGACATAATAGTAATCATGTGTGATTCAATTGACATATCAGTGGCACGAGATTGTGACAAAGATATATGGGGAACACTGAAATCTTCAATTGATAAGGAATGTGGGGTCCAATCAAGCATCTTAGCCATTTGGAGGGGTATTACTATATACAATTCCCGACCACTAATTTGTAGATCCAGCTGCAAGATCATACCTCAGTACATTTCCAGGAGGACGAGTGGATATAGAATTAAGTCATTGGTCTTCACTATTGGGATTGTCTGGTCGAACGACGCAACCATATGCTATGATAAAAAATGTGGTACGACCACTGATTGAGACAAAAGGGGTTGAATGAAGCAAGAATTCAGGTCGATGCAGACCACTTAAGTAGATTGCATCAACCGTACACTGTCTCCTCCAAAGGGCACCCCTCATCTAGAAATCTTGACCCATGGGTAAATTCACCCTATATTCATCCTATAAATCGCTTTATAGTGACGAACCCCTGCAACCACTGATGATTGCTTTATTGATGATTGCTTTATTGACTCCACACAACCTAAACTTTTGGACTGTTAACCATACTCTTACAGTGGGTCATCTCAGACAAAACCAAGGGGCCTACCAATTCCAATATATGCTTCTTGTGTAAGTCAGAGGAAGAGTGAGTTAGCCACCTATTCCTTCGTTGCCATTTTACTATTAAGATTTATACCGACTTTTAGCTACAACCATAAAATGGGTCAAATCACGAAAAGAATTCTCATAAATTAGCTCAATTGACCTACTACCTCGTTGCCTAGAAATGTATCAGGAAGAAGATTTACAATGTTGTGACTCCATTCACGTGGAAAGAACCAAAACTAACACATCTAGGGAAAAGTTAACCCTCATATTTCATATATTGAAATTAAAAGGGTTTTTAACATATAATTACGGTTCGTGTGTAATTCCAGAAACTCTCAATTCTTGTTATAATTTATATCAATCCTCTATTCAGAATCAAGACCCTGGATTTGGGCCTTGAAGCTAAAAAAGAAAATATACAAAAACAATGGGGAAGATTGGTACTAAAAGGCGTATAGTGCCTATATACCTAGATAAATGCAAGAGTACTGGCCACGTCTTGCTCCTCGAGTTTCGGGCTTCAAGCGAATGTAGGATCAAGTTCTCTTTCTGTATGCCTTCACACGTAGCAGAAGAGAAAAGAGCACTATAGGGGCTTGTCTATTGTCCTATGTATGTAATAAAAATGGTGTGGTAAAAGGGTCTCGTCACTCTCTCTTTATCATATAGAAATATGAGAATATATGGTACGTGAGAAATTAAAAAAAAAAAAAAAGCCAATCCCCTCCCCACTGTATAAGTATGGTTTAAATAGGCTTCCATGTGATAAGGATAGGAACCCATAATGTTTATCCAAACTACCCTCTCTCATGAAGTGCTTTGATAAAATAAACATGTATTATAAATTTAATTCCAAAGCAACGCTAGTTTTGATGATAGACTCCAATCTCACATAAAATTGAAATGCTCTAATATTCAAGTTTAAATTTGAACCCATAGCCAACCATATGTGGCATGATATTTCATGAGAGAATCGAGGAAAGATGGCTCTCTGGATTTGTTGCCAGCAAAGCCTTTGAACTATTCTGACACATGAATCTAATCAATGTGACTCTTTGATGACAATTCCTTTCGATCTAAATTTTGAATGACCCATAGTGTGCTACCCTAACATGATTGGTAGGGTTTCAAGTGAGGGTTTCAATGGTCCAAGTCCTATGAAAAAATTCCTTATCAATTAAGAAAAATCTTAAATTGAGTGATTAGAGGTAATCCTAGTTATAGAATATGTATGCGAGGCACATGATGGATATATGGGTATAGATTTGGAGTCAAATCATCTCTAGATGACCTAAAACTTTAGGGATAGGGTTATAATGCCTCACATATGATATCTTAAAAGCTTTAAATTAGTTCTCTAAATATCGTGATGGGGCTGGTGGTCAAGGCATGTTTTAGTGAGCAGTGGATTTGGATAATGACTAAAAAGAAGAACAATTTGAATGATTCTTGGACCAAACGCACATAACTACTTTTTAAAAATATATGCAAACTTCCATCTCATTTTGATACAATTTCATGAGGTTTCACAGGGTCTGGTTGTGTCATAAATGATAGATTTGAAGACGTATCATACCGTATCCAATCTCTCCAATGTCATATAGAGAGACATTTAAGATCTATTAGAATATAAGTTCCAAAATTGATCTCAAATCGAGATGGCTTGATAGTCTTTTATAATAGTTTGGTCATGCATGTATATTGACCGGTTGTCATGCTTCTAAGGCATGTTAGGGCCTTGCTAAGTTATGGCTTTGCTACGCCCCGTTAGCATGTCCTGCAAATATATTTCAGCAGTCATATTTATTGGTCTTGCATCACTACCCATCATCTTCCAAGCGCATATAAGCTCCACATCTACTTATGTTATGAGATTATCCCTTCTACTGGTACTCCACAAATGGACGGGGTAGAACGTCCTCAAGGAATATAAAGTTTTCATGAGGCAGATTTGGGCCACTATCAAGTTCAAATACCTTTGTTCTGAAGGAGAAACCGAGGGGTATACAAAGTGCCTCCTAATCTCAATGTTCACACACCATTCAAAGAAATAAGATTCACCATCTAAGCGCGAATACCTTCATATAAGAGGAGAAAGAACCAAAGTGGTTCCTATTAATAATGATAATACACCTATCAAAGAAATAAGATTCATTATAATAGGGTAGGGCTGTGAAAAGAGAGAAGATACAGCTTTTTTTCTTTTTTTTGGGTAATGCAGTGGGGATGATGAGCACATGCGCACTTTTTAAATAATTAGTGGTGTTTGAATGTGTTAGGTAAGAATAGAAGCCCGAACTTTAGCACGGGCATAATTGAAGCCCAACCCCAACCCCATTATTGAAGCCAAGCTAGAATAATGCAAGAAAAAAACATGGGCAACTTTGATAATTTTTTGTATTCCTCAAATCTAATTGTAAAATCCACTCTGGATGCCGTATAAATGTGTCATGCTTGAAATGCTTATGGGATTTATATTTCCATTTGTATCTTTGTAATACCTGTGCTTAGAGAGAGAGAGAGAGAGAGAGAGAGAGAGAGAGAGAGAGAGAGAGAGAGAGAGAGAGAGAGAGAGAGAGAGAG